GGGGGGGGGGGGGGGGGGGGGGGGGGGGGGGGGGGGGGGGGGGGGGGGGGGGGGGGGGGGGGGGGTAATTCAGCGGGGAGTGCGCTGACACCCAAAATGTATCCCGAAGAATGTGTTTCCTTGACCACAACGAAAAGTCGACAGTCTCTGCGATTGAAAACACAAAAAAAAACAATTGATGTTCTATACCATTAACTGAGACCCCGTGAGGGGGCGGCATGGTGGAGGCTAAGCTTTCCTTCTTCTGCGGATCGAAGACAGAAACGGTAGCAACAGAAGACAATTGCACGTACGTGTCGATGAAGGCTGCTACGTTGTTGCACTCCTAGTGTAGTTTGTTTGGAGTGCTTTCACCGTCATCCTCCTTTGCTTCCAACTCCATCGTTCTCACCATCGTTTTCACAGCAACTTTTCGACATATCTTCTCTGGTCCTACGCCGTTTGTGGTGGGGCAGGTGATCTGGCACAAAGCTCTGGCTCGTGTGTGTGTGCACCGATGTATGTCATTGTGCTCGCTTATGATCGCCAAACGCGTGCACGCAGTACACATCCAAGAGAGCACCCGCCCGAAGCGTGCGTCAACCCCACGTTAGCTGTTACTGATGGTAGCACAGGAGGATATAATATGCCCCCCATTACTCCTAGTATTTAGTATTTTTGGTCATCCTCCGTGGGGGAGGAAGGGGGGGGTACCGATGGGAAACCTGTTGACGGGTATTATTGTCTTGTGTTTGACATGTTCCATGTCTTCACATGCTCGCTCCGTTCCATCCATCCATGGATAGTGCGGACTAAATCAAGTGGCGTGGGTGCGTGGACTCTACAAAAGGCACAGATAGGCACTCTCACAACACAAACATACTTAGCAGGCGGAACCCGGCTCTCGCATGTTGAGACATGAATGACCAGACGCCTGCGACGTGGCAAGTTGGAAACCTTGCCCCCGTAAGCAGCGTACCGCCCAAACCAAACCATGAGGCCAAAAACAGAAGGGAAACAGTTTTCTTTTGCAGTTTTCTTTTGTTCGTTGCTGCGATTGTTTGTTTACATTCAAATGACTCCACGCCGTTCATCCTGGGTGCTTTCCATCGATCAGCCTACAATCAATGCCGCCGCCCTCTCCCCCCCTCCCTTCCCTTCCGAGGACCCTTCAGATACCGATACAAATCAGGTAGAACTTGATGCAACGCAACAGCAAACACAACAACGTCAAAACCCTTTAGCGTTATTTCAACAAAAAACTCCTTCGGCCACTTGGCAAAAGAGGAAAAACTTTAGGCGGCCATCTATCTCTAACAAATGGATTTCGAGTTTTCATTCAGCTTCTCATCTCCTTGTCTAATCGTAATATGCACATCAAGGACACAAGGAAGCTTTTCTCTCAACAGCATCCAACTCTCGAGAATCACTCAACAAACATCATGCCCGCCTAAAACAATGAACCGAAACACAAGCGCATCAAGGGGCGCCTTGACGCCCTCCGTGCAGAAGCACTTTTAGTTGAAGGTGTAGCCCGCGCCGAGGAGGTCGTTGATGACGTACGGCTTGTTGTTGAGCTCCTCGTGCACCATCAGGGCCAGGATGCCCATCTGCGCCGCGCGGCCGTTGTTGAGCTCGATAGCGCGCTTGGACGCCTGGGTCTCCTCCGACATGGCGTCCCACGACGACCCGAAAGGGTTGCCGCCGAGGGTGAAGTCTCCGGGGAAGGAGCCCTCCACGTTCTTCATCACGGCCAGCTCGAGGAAGCCGATGAACGCGAAGATCTGGGCGAGGCCCGCCGGGGGGATCTTGGAGAGAGCGGCGACGCCGTTGGGCATGTCCGCGAAGGAGAGGTCGGCCGAGTTGGAGAGCATGCCGGGCAGGCGGGTGTTTTGCTGGGTGAGGTGGCCGGCGATGGCGAGCATGGCGATGCGGCCGTGCTTCACCTCCACGTATCGGAGGCGCTCGAACCGCTCCTGGTCCGCGTCCTCGAGGAGGCCGAGCGGGTCCCAGAATCCGAGGGGGGGCTGCGCGCCGATCTCCGACTCGAACGACATCTTCATGGCCGAGGACGACTTGGCCGGGGTGGCGACGGCGGCGCCCTTGAACGCGCTGTGATGGTGGGAGTGGGGGAGAATGGGGGGTCAAGAAGGAATGGGGTAGGGAAGTAAGAGGCATAGTCTAAGTAAGACAAGGGAGCAGGCGTTTCACGCTGAGAAGGTTCTAATGTAGGATAAGCACAAGTGGGAGCAGAGCTTCCATGTCGAGTACGAAAAATTCACGACGAAACATGCGGGAGCGTAGCATACGACACGCGGATATTTTTCAACGCCAGTCATGTGTCAACAACAATGCCCCGTCACCCTCCTCTTAGAATTATGTGCTCTCTCTCCACTCTCTTCAGTGTGCTGACGGATGGTGGGATTAGGAATTGGGACGCATGGGCACGTGCCGTGCGTGCTGGCGGATTTGTTTCTTGACACGCAGGTAATGCTTGATAATCAAATTCACTATGGGGATGTCCTGCCAAAACCAGGGAAATGAAAAATACCCAAAACAAAACCAAAACCCACACGTGTTCATCGTACTCAAGACGAGTGAGTCTTGTGTGTGTCCTGTTGTTGCATTTGTATCGTTGTGCGATCACTTGCGCGTCTATTTTGGAGTACACGAGCCTTTGGGGCCAGACAAATCCGCCTGTAGATGCAAAGAGTATGAAGAGTACAGCAGCGGGGAGTTGTTTTACCCCAAGAAAGCAAAATCGTTCCTTCGCATCTTTTGCGGCTTGAAGGGACATCACAAAAGTTTTCTAAGAGTTTCAATTGTGTCATCCCAAGCAGGCTGCCGGAGCAGTACAATGTAGACTGCTGCTGTTCGCTATCTCCCGGCACTCTCGTCAGGTGGCACGCAATTAGGCATCTCTTCGTGACCACGCGGCTCACCGTACTTTACATGTAGCGTTTGGTTCTTGGTTTGCAATCATTTCCCGTGCAAGCAGTTTGGCCTATGCCCTACGTGTGTGATGTGTGTGCCTCTTGGTGCAGCGCCGCCCAAGGGTGGCAAGGCATTTACGCATAGAATAGCGAGCTTCGAATCGAGGCATGAAGGGAACCCCACTTTCATGCGTTCGTCACAGAAGGGTGGCCGCATGGAACAGAGGAGTTGACACTTCGAGGAACCAAACTACTGTTTAGATCGAGGGAGAACACAAGCGGCAGGACTACACAGCAGTACACCAGATTGGCTCGACAGGGACGTGTTCTTAGGACGTGGATGATCCGTGAGCCATCCTCCAGCTCTCTTTGCGTACCCTCAACCCAAGAACAATCGTTACGCAGTCGCGTCTTGCAGCGCGTCGCACAGGTTGCAAGGAGAGCGGCGCGGCGATGGGCCATGAAAGGGGTTGTTGTGGAAATGATGGGGATGATAAACCCTGCGCCGACAGAGCACGCACGACAATGGCGCCAAGAGAAAAATGTTCGATGCCAACCTGGACACATCGAGATACCAGCTCAAGAAGATTGCTGCTGTTGCTCTCACCTGGGTGCCACGAAGGCTTGGGCTCCGGCCACGCAGGCAGCGGCTACAACGCAGGACTTCATGTTGTTGTGAGGTGGGGTGGTGGAAGGATGAGGAAGGTGTGTGTGGAAGATGTGGGCAAAAAGCGGAGTGAGGGATGTGGGGCAGGGCGCGTGTTCGCGTGCCGCCAAGAGAGGGATCTTTGGGCCAGATGACATCAACCCAGTAACCCACGGGACTGTTGCGAAAAATGCGGCGGAACTACGCTTTACGTACTTGAATTTTTCTCGAGAAATAATCTCGCCGCGCACGCGTGGGGGGCTCTGTCTCGCGCGCCCAGCTGCTCCCACTCTTGACGTCGACAACCTTGGGTCTGCGTCTCGCGGGCCTCATCACACCGGTACCGTGGCTGTGGATTACGTGGGACTATTTTGTGCGCACATACCTCCCTGGTGGTTCATCTGCTGCTCCTCATGTTACGAATTCGGTACACTGCTGTGTTTAGTCTTTAGTCTGTAGACTTTAAAGTCTACATAGTCTATGTATCTCGAATGGTAGAAGAGCTAGATAGACTAGTCTCATGGGTTGAAGTCTTTCTGTGTTTGTATTTATCTTCGGCACGGCTAAACACCCAACCGGTTGGGTGGTTAACGCTTCAACACCCCACCAGCTATATCTCGCTCTACAAGACACCAATCAGCACAGGACTTCTACGAATGAATGTGTTGCTGCGCTGCCTAGCTATCTTGGACTCATCGTGAGGCCGAAACGGCACAGTTTTGGTGGTTTCACGGTTAGTGGCGAACATACCGCCGCTACCCCACTGGTGGGGTAGATAACGTAATTGACCCCACCAGCTGGATCTCCGTCTGTCTCCCTCTAAAAGGCTCCGATCGACACACAAACTTCTAGGAATGTGTGGTCGATGCGCGCACAGCGCCCGGCCGCGGGGAGCACCCAGGGCGGTGAACAGCACATACATCAAGTGTTCCCGCCACACAGCATTACACAAACCAAGTGGAACCAAACACTGCCTTCTCATTGGTGGGGTACATACATAGCGCTGCTTACCCCACCAGCTGCATGTCGTAAACATGCCTTACTTGCGACACCGTCGAGGTGGTCCTGCGGCCGCATTCTTGAGCGTATCTCGGCAACCGCATGTTGGTTTCGGCCGAATGATGGCTTGCGCGACAGCTGGGGGCCGTGAAAACGACAGCAAATTTGGTTTGTGGCCTTCGAGGTGTTTCGGAAAGAATCGCGCGGTGTTGAAAGTATGTGCATGTTTTTGGCGCCGCCGTGCTGGTGCTGCGGTGCCATACTCTTGGGCGTACCTCGAGCACCACATGTTGGTTTCGGCCAAATGACGGCTTGTGCGGAATAAGAGCACCGCTCAATTGTTTTCGTGCGTATCGGGGGTGTTTTCGAAAATATATTTGCTGTGTTGTGCGCATCATCAACTTTACACTTCTACTACGGTTCTTGTGTGGCCATCGGAGCCTTGAACAGAGGTGCGAGGTCCATGGTAGGAAAATACAGACATGATTCCCCCACCGGTGTGGCATATCCGTACTTTACGTCACCGGCCGTGGTAGCACGTGAACGGAACCCTTTGGGCTTAACGATGGGTCATTCGATAGCCCTACAGCGCAGCAGCACAGCTGAGCATGTCCTGTGTCGACTGGAGTCTTGTATGACGACATACAGCTCGTGGGGTAACTGCGCTATGTATGTGCCTCACCAATGAGAAGGCAGTGTTTGGTTCCGCTTGGTTTGTGTAATGCAGTGTGGCGGAAACACTTGATGTATGTGCTGTTCGCCGCCCTAGGTGCTCCCCGCTGCTGGGCGCTGTGCGTGCATCGACCACACATTCCTACAACTTTGTGTGTCGATTGGAGCCTTGTAGAGGGAGACAGACGGAGATCCAGCTGGTGGGGTCAATGACGTTTTCTACCCCCACCAGTGGCGTAGCGGCAGCATGTTCCCCGCACCGTGACACCACAAAAACTGTGCCGTTTCGGCCTCACGATGGGTCCAAGATAGCTAGGCAGCGCAGCAACACATTCGTAGAAGTCCTGTGCTGATTGGAGTCTTGTAGAGCGAGACGAGATATAGCTGGTGGGGTGTTGAAGAGTTAACCACCCCACCGGTTGGGTGTTTAGCCGTGCCGGTTTATCTTTCCTAGCTCTACTTGTATGAAGTGAAGAGGCAACGTTTGCTACTTCTACATGAATATCTGCCTGCAGCAAGGGTATCGTCGTATCGTCCCGTCATGGACATGAGGAGCGCGACAAAATGTGCCTTTGAGGATCTGGCTGTCTATGTCCTTTTTAGAACCTTGGCGAATGGCATGTATAGCGGCACAGATGGGGCCCGGAGTTAAGGTCCGTTCACAGTTTTTCCTTTATTAATTTTTTTAATTTTTCCCACCCCCCGCGGGTGGTAAGGGACTGGCTGGTAGTGTAGAAGCCTTCAGGGAACTGCTGAGAAGCGTCGAAGACGGACAGGTAGACGTACAAGCAGCAGGGGACAGGGTGATTTAAGGGTAGGAGTCCATCGTGAACGCAATAGCAGAGAGAGTAGTGGGAAAGGAGGTGGTACGATGTGGGGTATCGGTTAAGTGGTGGGATGACGAGCTGAAAGAAGAAATAGGGGAACGTAGAGAAGTCTTCAAGCAGTACCTGAGTGAGGCGTCTGAGGAGAGTTGGGAAAAGTACAGGGCCAAGAGAAAACAGGTGAAGGGACTAGTGAAAAAGAAGAAACGGTGTATTTTGGACGAAGTAATGCAGAAGGCCAACGGAGGCCTGGAGGGGATCGTCAAGCAGATGTGGGAAGGGATAATTGGAATGGTAAAAAAGACCGCGCAAGGGAGGGATACAGGGGTCGCAACTTTGCGAGGTGTGAACGGTGGATTAGTCAGCAGTGGGAAGGGAAAAAGGGAAGTTCTAGCAGGACACTACAAGAGACTTGGAGTGCCCTCGGAGAATGAAGCTTTTGACCAAGCGTTTAAGAAGGAGGTGGACGCATGG